CACAACAACAGAAGTTCCCAATTTTGTCTATCTCTTTAGAAGCCCCAGGTTTACTGATGAGGGCACATGCCTGCCCTCCCCTCCCCCATGGGTGGCACACATCCCAGATGAGTTTATTGTTCTTACCCCAGGTATAAGGAGATGAAAGTTCCACCTGATTGATCTAAGCTAAATAAAACATCAGATTTCAATTTGGGAGATTCCTGGGCTCCTTTAGGGATTAATAGCAGGTCACCAAGGTCAACTCAACAAAGTCGAGCTTCCTTCAGGGCCTGTGTCCTCACACACCTTTGTCCCATTAGCAGCACTGATGTGATGAAAGTAGGTAACTGGACACCTCTAGATATATATCAATCCATAGGCAAAGGATAACAGCATACAATACTCCTAAATCTGCTGAAAGATGGAGGATGGCTGTTGAATAAAGCAAGATTTTCTTAGACAGTTCCTCTTGAGGTATGCTTTGGCCATTGTAATCATGATAACTTCTACATGTATTCTAAATTTGTACATCTCTTCTCTCAGAATAAAATCACAGTTCTATAATAATCCTACACTTCTATTCTTTTTCCACGGCTGCTTGGGAATTCACCAAGACCAGAGGATGAGGATCAATGAAATTCAATCGGCAAATTCTACTTATGAGCTTGGATCCATTTGCGACCCGCAAGTCACTCTGAATGACCATACTGATCAATCTCCTGAACACTAACATCAAGATATATCACCCTGAATCTGATCCTTGATATGCACTGAAAATCAGGAACAGATATTCTGGCATTGTAAAAAAAAAGACCTCTGAGTCTAAGGAACGTTTGTTCTTGATTTTCCTGTACAGACGGGGATTACGAGCTTTAAACACAGGGTCTCTGAACCTGACCTTGGCATTAATGCAGGGGTTTATCTGATTTATCTGATGCCTTATCAAATCTGTGAGTCATTACCTGCAGCTGTATCCCCTGATCTAGGCAGGGGTCAGGGGCAATCTTCAACAAACTTATCATGCTTCAGGGTCTTATGTTTACAGTGCTATATACAAGGTCATAAACTTCCAAATTATATTACATATTTACACTGCAATGCTTACGAGGCTGGATTGTATCCTGTATTTGGCAGCTGTTTCCGCTTCTTTCTTTCAAAACTGCTTTATTTGAAGGAATGATAGATAGCCTTTCATATAAGGTTTTTAAAACATCTTTTGAAGCGTTGTTGATGAGAAACACGCACTTCAGACTGTCGTGCACTTCCTGACATGTTGTCACCAACACATGTACCCTTCTAACCATCAGCCAATTTGGGTCATGAAAACTTCTCCACGCTGACTGTCAATCACTCTCAAGCTCCCCATAAACTCCCATCTGACCAAATTGGATAATGTTTAGGCTGACCCTGCCACTCATTTCGGCCATTTCCGTGACAGAACCAATGGCTGGATCTAAACAATGTCAGGCAGATCATCTATCCTTGGCTCAAACTCTACATATGATTGATTTTAGACCAACAAACAAATTCCATTCAAAGCTGGCCTTCGGACAGGATTATCTTAAATCATATTCCATGGGCACACCAAAGCCTTCCATTATGACATGTTGAGAACATCTGCAGTTAGACTAGATTGGATGCTAGTTAAATTCGAATGACTGTTATTTTTCAATTGTTCTCATTTCACTTTTTTCAAGCTGGACAAGTGCCATGGAACAGTTTACAGGCTCTGATAAACATGATGTGCATTCCTGTGAGTTACTCACCTGATCAGAACCAAATGTGAAACACATACAGAGTAACTCAACACATATTGCATTAATCACCTTTGTGGTACCTAACCTATAACCAATTTCCCAAAGATCACTTTTTACCTGGGGCATAATCAAAGCAGGGTGGGTACAATTAACTTTCAATAAAGTGTCCCCTCCATCCATGGCACCCTCTTGTGGACATTTACTGGGGTTGAATGACTGGATGGATTAAATGCAGCTCAGATGTACGATACTGGTTCCAATTTGGAGGGTCCTGGATGCAGTGATAAACTTTTGGTACTTTCTATTCCAACTGTGCTTTGCTGTCCATACCTCTTACAATATACTAGACAGACTTTTCACATGCTGTAACTTTTACTGGCACAAACACAAGGCAACCTAGTGGATTATCTTAATAAATCGAGGAACTGAAGTGCTAGAATGAAGATACTAATACTAATACAGATATAAATATATGAAATTCTTTCAGAACATGTAATATAGTAATATAGTATGTTTTTGTATTTTGGTGTGGAAAACAAAGTATGTTGTACTAAGTATGTTGTTCATATCTTTCTCTACCAGTCCATGAAAACAACGGAAGGAATGCAAAAGCCACCTGCCTTGGATCATCACCACTTATCTGGGGATTAGAATCTGTCTGCTGGTCTAATCCCCCTGGTAAATCCACACAAGGCAGATAAACCTTCACTGACAAGTTTATTAAACAATACACATTTGGGGACAAACCATGAAGTTGTAATAGAAGACAATGGATGAGAAAGAATACCATTGAGATTAGGGAAGAAGGTATTCACTTCACTTCAAAGAAATCTATTGTACTCCACTAGTTTGTACATTTATCAAGAGTAATACGTTTTCCTTGCCCTGTTGACTTTTCCATTTTTTTAATTGTTAATTGAATTAGCTCTGGGATGACTTTGGGATATGGTTCTGTTAGTATTCATACTGGAACTTCACTGAACAAATTATCTCCTGTCACCAGTTTGACACACACTACAGTTCCCAGACTCCCATGGGAGGGAGTGATATTATTGTGGTACTGATTGCAAATTGGCAGGTTAATTAGTGTTGACAGGTTTAATTAATTGGAAAATGCAGTGTCTGCAGCAGCGTGCATCCAAGGACAAAGGAATACCACTGGGAAAACACACTGCATTTGTCCTATAAGCTGATAATTACAAAGATTAGCATGCATGTGTATTGTCAACTTCCAAATGTGATATATAGAATGGGTAGTCTCCAATATCATAACAACATTACAGTTATAACAAGGTTTATATTTGTTGTTAGTAAAGGTCATTTGTTACCACAGCAGCTGGTCTTTATAGTTGTGCTGTTGGCACCACAAAAGTAGAATCCTAGATAGTGTAAGTATGGGGGTGGGAGAGTGGTTGGCGGCTTCAGTAAATTTCTTCCCTTTTTTTCATGCAACCTCAAATATGCAAAACAACTCGAACTGTAGAACTTAATGTAGTCTGACATGTGAAGCAGATGTTTATATGATAATTATAGCTCTCTGTACCTGTCACAATGAAGGACTGGTGCAGACTGTACAATACTGCAGACTTTGTTTGGCATCTGTGCAGGTCACTGACCCGCAAAGCCTGTTTTCTACAATTTACTCGTGAAATGATCCATACATGAATCACAGATCAGTGATAACCTCTCCACAACAGGCTTATCTGTCTAACAATGAAAGATCCTATCTGTAACATAATATCTCGTTATGAGCTGGACTTGACCAGTAAGAAGACAGTTTCAGACTTCTAACTTCTTCTCACATAATCACAAATATAGCTGGACTCCTATTTCCCTGTTCAAAGAAAAGAAAAGAAAAGAAAAGAAAGGGGGAGAAACAAACACAAGTTACTTTTTATGATGCCAAAGAAGGATATCTTCTTAGATGGATACTCACACAGTAGAAAGACCATAGTAATGTGCTCTATCTTCTTAGTCCCATATCCAACTCACCTGGTATCCTACAAATATCTCACCTTTGTTCTGTGAACCTACCTTGCTGTGCCTGTAGCCTATCCAGGGTGGGGAGGGGGGTTCCCTGGGGGGACCAGATAGCAATGGAACCCTGGTAGGAGATCATAGCATTGTCACCAAAAGTTTGGAACAGGGGAGCAAGCAGTGGGAAGATCCTTGTTCAGAAAGATGCCAATCTCACGGTCACCGTTCCAGTGCCACGCAGCATTCAATTCAGGAACCAGATAGATCTGTGGTTTGCTGACACGTGACAAGTCTTCACTCAATCACTGCACTTTCTCTCCCAAGAATCCCAGTGACTTGTGGTGGAAACAACGTCCAGAAATGTCAACAGGAGGAGCATCAACCACTAACTTGTGTGGCACGAAAGGTGCTCTTCACTGAAGCTTGACGTTCCAGCGTAGGCAGCTTTGCAAAAGTCTAGGAGTAATCCAACAAAAGCAGTCTCTGTCCACAACTGCCACCAGTGAGTCACAGTCAGCCTTCCACACCTTGCCAACGTCTACCCACAGATCCTGTTTGGGCGTGTCAATCAAGGCACAAAATGGCAGACATCAGATTTCACCACAGCTTCAGTTGTCCTAATTCGGACTCCAAAGATCACTGCTTTGCTGCAGAGTTGAAGCAATCCGTTAAACTTCAGCTATCTCCTGAAGCTCAGAGCTGTATAGAGAGGACCTAAGCCCTCCAGAAATTATGGTCCTTGCAGCAGGTCTGGCTTGGATAACTGCCCCCAGTCTTCCTGTGTCCCTGGGAGCTGCTTTCCACACACTGAGGGGCCCCACTAGTGATCGATGACAGGCGTAGAAGCAAACAGCAACACAGAATGCGTCCCTGGCTCCCCAGTCTGCCACAGCCTTCCCAAGTCTGACATTGTCTGGTTTAGTTAACCCTGCCTCCCCCAGATCCGCTGCCTCCCATTGAGAGGTCCCAGCGGGACCCTGACAGATTTGAGGGGAATTCGTTGGCAGCCGGTTTAATTAACTCAGGGATCAGAGGTTAATCACAGCTGACTGTGAACCCTGGCAAGCACACAACCCACCCAATACACCAGGGCCAGGGGCAAACACAAGACAAAGCCTCGGTCTACGTCAATCTTCTATACAAACTGACAATTACCAACAACACTGCTGTAACAAATGTCACGTCATTCTACCAGAGCATTGTTCTCAACTTCAAGGGTGTGCCATTACATAAGAACATCAACATCATTGCTTACTTTATAATCAATTAAAGGCAACTTGGTATCTGGGACTAAATTCACTGTTCTGGAGGTACAATGTAAGTCATACAGATTACTGCAAATCCAAATGTTATGAAGAAATCTTACTAAACCTGATACATACAAACAATTGTAAGATAAGCAGTGGCTGCCTTCATACCACCCACCAAGGTTGTTTTCTTTATTTTAAAGATTTTGACCGCAGGAGACAAAACAAATTTTTCTTCTCGTCAGTACACAAGTCTGGTTTATAGAGGTCTTTTTAAGCCCTGTCAAATAAGTCTCCACATGACGAGTTTAAAAAGGGAAAAATGGCAAGGCTGAAGCACAAGTACTCTCCGATTACAGTTTACTTAATAATAGGCCTTTGTCATGGCTAATTTGTTTGGACTAATTGACAGGTGAGCTGACTGAAAGAAAACATGAAGTTGACCAGTGCAAGATGAAGTGTCACACAAACTGCAAACTGACAACTTGGACAGAACCTTATTGAAAATTAGCTTTTTATTAAAATGAGGCTTCAAATAATTTCACATGCCTTTTATCATTATCAAATTATGATAATGCAATAATACATCTATGTGTTGCAATTTATCTATATAAAATTAAGATCAAGATATATATAGGGTTCTTCTCATACTCTCTTGAATGTTTGTTTCATATCTCACATACGTATAACGTATGGCTAAAATTATTCTACCTTTACCACAAACCAAAGTATTGATGGTTGTCTGCCCAGTTTAAGAGGTCATGGCAAGGATAAATTACACACACATGCTGAAATTAGCATGGAGGTGCGGAAAATGTGCGCTTGTGTGCGGAAAATGTCCGTCTGTGTATTCAGGGCTGCTCAGGTCAGCTCCGAAATATTTGCGCTGATCCACAGCTAAGACCTCTAATCCCTCATGTGTGGGGAGACAAACCCTGAACGCACATGGGAGACCGCCCTCACAAGTCTGCCAATTCATTTCAGCAATCCGGGCTTGTGTTGGAAGGAGGAGATACCTATTCACATATTTACAACGTCTTCTGGCTTCCTTGCCAACAGGAGCTGGGGTCAGAGGGTTCCAGATGAGACTTGTCTGTGAATATTATGTCAGGGGCAAATGCTGTCTAAAACTGACAAGGAGACATATGATATATGACTCAAATTTATAATAAGAAATGGTGACATGCAACTACATATGGCAGCAAAGATGACAATACACATGTACAATGTATGTAGTGCAGAAACATGAGTATTGACACAAGGAAACAAAAAAATAATAAATCCATGATACCCGTAAACTAATAGTACAACAAATATCTATAATAAAGTATATCTGCTGTGGAATAATTTCATCTTTTCATTTTAACAGTACCAATCTATGGCAGTGTCCAGTTGGCTAAACTGTTGGTCACAGGTAACTAACCTCTGGGGGTTGACATTGGGACAGAGTAAAGCCAAAGGGGATGGAACCTCTTCATCCCTAAAGACACACCACCATCTGCCTCTGATTTGCCAGTAATTCTTTAATCACTAGCATCCATGCCAAGACACACAACCTTGTTACTCTTGACAATGAGGGAGAAATGAAAAATTCCCTAAACCTAAGCCTGAAAATCAGTACCAGCCCCAGCATTGAGTCCACCAATTGACCCCGCGACCCCGGGAGTCTGGGTGGAAATTAGTGTGAACAAATTTGGTGACCTTCCAGCCCCGCGGATGACCTTGGGTTCCTCGGTGCTACGCTCTACACAACAGGGGTGAATTTGGAAACACATTCTTCAATCCTACTGATGCTTGGATGATAGGAATAAAGACCACCTCCAAACCCTGATAATTTGGAGAACTAAAGCCCCACGAAAAGCTTCTTACCCAAATAGCCTTCAGGAAGCTTATGCATGCATTAGATTACATATACATGGATGACTATTACCATCCTTTGACCTTCAACGGAATGATAGCATCAAAGTGTAAGAAACACTTTCTGATAACTGACAGGTCACACAAAATAAATGCCATCAAAGTAGAGAACATACTGTGTGGGTGAGTAAGATAATCACAAATCAACATAACGCTATCCTGTTCCCTTGAATCTGCAGTTGAGTTTGCTGATGTTTGATCTCTCTGTCAAGTCTGCACATCCCTGCCACACACGGGATAGGAAGGGGGAACGGCAAGATACTGTCAGTCAACAGTCCATGTAAAGAAACCGCTTGCTATGTTGTTCCTTTGGTTCCACTATTGAAATAACACTGATAACTTTAAGACAGTAACTTACTCTGAAATGTTATAAAATTTTCATACTGAACACGCAGTCTGTCACCCTTAATAGCACGACAATATGACTTCCTGCTACCCTAAATAAAAGTGCCAGTCAAAATATCAACCTGTCTAGCACACAGCAGAATGTACGCCTTGTTTTTCCTGTTTTTCTTTTGCATATACAAATATAATGTTCCATATCTGAGTCTCTTAAAGCCTACCGCAAACCTTTCAAGCAGTGGAAAGAGCCACCTGTATTTTAACTCTATAAATTATATTTTACTGCAATCTCATCTTTCACATGTAAATAAGGTGGCCCTGACCAGTCTCCTACTAGTCCCTGACTCATCACCCTGTACCCCAAGTACCAGGAGACTCTGCAACATTGTCTATCAGTGAAAAGAACAAAATCCTCCAATTTGCCAACCCTCCTGGGGGATCTAGGCGCTTCTGGGAGTCCTTAGGATCAATGCTAATCTGATGACAGATCAATATGTAAATCCTGTATCTGCCCACATCCTTTTGTACACCCACTATAGGGGAGATATCACCACCCTGGAGGAAATGTTTGGGGCAGTGGAAGTGAGGAGATAAACCATGAAACTGGGCAGATAAGCAGGAACAGGAGCCAGACAGACATCTGATCAGTCTTATCAGCCCCCTCAGACAGACAGCTTCTGTCAGGGGACCAAACACACACTGGCCCAGACAGACCCAGCTATCAGCACTGATAACATAGCCCATCAATCCTGCAGAGATACACTGACAGTTTGCAGTGATTAGAACTACAAACACCCAACCAAAGTGGCCAATGTGACAATGGCACTGACAGCATACCACATCAATCTAGAAGAGATATACCTACTGTCAGTGGTTGATGTTTCTACCTACGAATATTACAACTTAAGTCCTTGCAAATCTTGAGAAAACAGCTTGTTCCCATTCTAATCTCTTGTCTGGTTGACTTACTACCGGTATGTTACAGGAAACAAGGTTATTTCAGGTTATTACAATAAGCCATCTGCCCTTCCTTTCTGAAAATGTTTCTCATTGATCGCATAAAACTGAATAGCACAGTGTGCTGAAAACCTACAGACACTACATTGAGGAAAGTACTGATCAAGGCAGAACATCAAACAATCCTGGCTGGTATCAAAAAAGAATAAGTTTGAAGAACTGGCAAACCTGCAATAAGTATCCATTCAGAAGCTTACCTGGTGGTGATGTGGTGATACCAACAACTGTACCTCCTGGCAGCTCAACACATGCACAGTGTCCCTAGCAAGGACTTGTGGGTGATAGAGAGGTCGCTGAGGTCAGACATCCTACTCAGAAGTATCCACACCTTCTTCATGCCACCAGCACCAAGAGGGCAACATCCTCTAGAGACCGTTTTGTTTGTTTTGACCCTACATGGCCAGGAGAGGTCACGACCTTTGAAGACCTCATTATCATGGTGATTTCCTGCCTGCTGTTTGGGCTTCTCAAACTTGAGGCTTCCCAGGGAGGTTCTCTGATAACTACTGACTATCAAACAAGGAGGAAGTCTCTCAAAATCCCTCTGCTACAGAAGTACACAATGGTTCAGTTGATAGCAAACTAGACAGGACATACATGTAAGGTGGATGAATGCACTTGAGACAAGGAGTACAAGCAAGGTGGTCTCCTTTTTAACCTCCTTAGTGGAAGAAAAAGAGAAAGAAAGTTGCCTGAAACTTTTGATACTGTTGAATACTAACCAGACTTTGTCCATGGCCTACAAAATCACTGGAGAAGGAACAGGTACTGGTGATGAACATATTTGTTGATGGAAACTAAAAGCAGCTGCAGTAAGTATCACATAAAGTCGTGAATGTTTCCTGCCTCTACAACTCTCCCAGGAACTTTCTCCGAGTGTCTGAAATTCCAATTAGGATCTCGTGAACAGGTTTGGAAACTTTGAAGTCAACAAATAAATGAAAGAAATGTATCCCAGATGTTGCGAGCTATCATGATAATGTTCAGGGGGTCAAGTTTATGCCAATTAGCAGAGTTCTTTACTGCAAAAATCTGTGATTATCCCTCACCCTGGTGAGGTTATAGGCCCTGCGGTGGTGATTATTTTTTCTTTGCAGCCCCCACATGCGACAGGGATTCTGTGGGCAGCTTCTTGGCTATATTGTGGAATATCAGGATCCAGGATAAACACAAGAAGAGCCAAAAATGTATCAAACTGCACCACAAAAATCTGATGGATACGTCTTATGGCAAGGGTCAGTTATCCCAAGCAAGGTGTAGTTTCACAAGGAACAAGAATGATTTGTGATGATTTTCTACACATTGGTATTTAATTTTCTTTGTTCTTCCTTGTTGTTTCTTCATTATTGCTTGACATCTGTTAAAATTTGGCTTAACAGCCTGGAAGACTTTGTTGAAGCTAAAAAAAATGCCAAGGTCTCTGTGTATTCTCATGGCTTGTTTTAAAATTCCATGGCCAAGGGAATT